CTACCGATTGTACATTTCTTCAGGTCCCCACATACATTAACGATGCATGTTCGAATCGTCAAGCAAACTGACTCTAAAACAAGTTTCGTGAAACCTAGAAGTCGATGTGTACTCATTGTCACACATTTTAACGTGCGTATGTGTGTGTGGGGGGGGGGGCTTTAACGTAAAAATGTTTGCAACGTTGAACTCGGTGCAAGGTTCAGTATTTAAGAATAGTTTGACTGTTGCTAAACGTTGCACGCTACTTGGACTAATGGACTGATACATTTTACAGAGCCGTTGGACGTTTGTCGTCGACAGAATTTCTGATGAACGTTGATCACTCTTTGTCTCTGTTACTTCCGCGACGTAGCTATTGTATTCAAATGCCAGACGTGTTCAAATGCGTTTTTCACGCAAAATTGAACACGCGTGTGGATTTTCGATGTTGATAATATTTTTTTCGAGTGCCCGTGTCTGTCTAAATACAAAAAGAAAAAGTAGAATGTGTGCCGTTTTGGCTTTCTAAAAAAAGTTTTGTCACCTTGTAGTTCTGTAATATAAATATAAATTCGTTTTCGTATCGCAGTTAATTTAAATGAAAAATTGTCGATACTTTTGTAACTTTGTTCAGAATAGATCATGTGATAGATCCATTCAGTCTCATTTCAAAATGTAAAGTTTCTATTTTTACTACTCTGAATTCGTTCTTTTTTTTTTTTTTTTTTTCCTTGAGATATATTTACAGCATATAGCAAAGACAGTATTTTCTTTAAAAAAAATTGTAAAAATTCACGTGTATGTAAATCACGTATTTGCATAAATGCGTAACATTGAAATATTTTATTTACGACTGAACCGACTCACCGACTCGAAGATTCAAGGTTTCCATTTACGGCGGCTTGAAACTTGAAATTTACTCTACGATTCTTTCCTCCTTATTTTATTGAACTTTGAAGTAGTAGGGTCGAACGAAATCCCAACATTTCGTCACCTAATCTTTAAAGTTCAATAAAATCGCAAAAAGAAAAATTGCACAGCAAGTTTTAAGAGACCGTTCCCTTACGAGAGAAAATTTCAGTTTTTCAAAACTGAACGGTGGATCGAGTTACGAAAAGTATCTTACAATTTAAAGTATCGACAACTTTTCATCAGTGTGTGTTCAGTTATGCCAGTTATACCTGTACTTGTGCAGAAGTAAGAATATATTTGTGCTTTTCGTGACATACAGAGACACTTGTCTATCTCTGAAGAATAACTTTATCCAGATCACGTAAAATTTCTGAATAGAAATTTTGTGAATGATTTTGATTTCATTTGTGTGAAAATGTTCTACAAAACTCGTTAATTAAAGAACTTCTCATCACGTAAAATTTTTCAATAGGAATTTTGTTCTATGAGAGTTATTTCATTTTATTTCTAGAACTGTACATTTCTACAAAACTCGTAATTAGAGAACTTTTTATTGGGATCGTGTAGAATTTCTGAATACACAAATTTTGAGCCCGACGAGAGTTATTTTATTTTATTTGTAAAAATTTATATTTCAAGTCACAAGATTAGAGAACTCTTCATCAGGATCGCATAAAATTTCTGAACAGAAATTTTGTGAGTGACTTTATTTCATTTGTGTGCAAATGTTCTACAAAACTCGTTAATTAGAGAACTCCTCATCACGTAAAATTTTTGAAGGAATTTTGTTCTTTTATTCGTAATTAGAGAACTTTTTATTGGGATCGTGTAGAATTTCTGAATACACAAATTTTGAGCCCGACGAGAGTTATTTCATTTTATTTGTAAAAATTTATATTTCAATTCACAAGATTAGAGAACTCTTCATCAGGATCGCGTAAAATTTCTGAACAGAAATTTTGAGCTCTACGAAAATTCCATTGTTCTATTTCACTTGCGTAGAAATGTATATTTCTACAAACCTCGCAAATATCGCGGCGCTTCTAGGCAAATGCTTAAGACGTCGTCGCGAATTTCATTGACGTAGAATAAAAGTTTCACAATTCGCCGAATATATCTCTGGCCGCTGGAGGACAGGTTTCGTCACTGTTACGCTTCACGACGATACTAATGCAAAAAGCAATTGCGCACGTCGCAATGTCGTCAACAATTATTTCTGTTCAGCCGCGCACGCACAAAAAGTCGCCGCGAGCGCGTTTAAATCGCGTTCAAATGCTGCTGGAACACACATGGAACATTCATTCTGCGACGAAACTTGCTCGTCCGCGTTGGGGGTCTTAAGCCCCGAACACACGTTGAAACATGCATCGACTTCTAAGTTTCGTGAAACAAAAATTGCCAAACCGATAAATATTTTATTTAAATTATTTTTTTTTTTAAATCATTAAGTCACTGCGATGGCAAAAAAAAAAAAGAAAGAAAACGACCAATACAAAGTTTATATTCTTATTTTGTACTGATACGGCTGTGATAAATCTCAAATGAAGTTTCCGTAACTTAAATAAAAAAAAAAAAAAAAAAAAAAAAATGCATTAGAATAGCCTGCACATATAATATACACGTTGCAATATGCAATATCGTGAAATCTAGAAATCGATGCAAGTGTCTCATCGTAGTGTGTACAGGCCTTTACACGGATAGGAATATTACTTATGATAATACGATATCGTATGATAATGATTATAATCGTACGTATGATTATTAAAGGATGTTACGGATAAGAATATTACTATATAACCTATTATAATAATAATAGGTATTATAATATAATATATAATATAATATATAAGAATATTACTATATAATAATACTATATTATAATAATAATAGGTATTATAATAATAGGTTATACAGTTTAACATAAAACATTAATTTTGTAAATTGATAATTAATAAGTATTAGTATTATATAACTTGCATATATAATGCAATAAAGCATTTATGTGCAATTAAAGAATTAGTAATTATTATTATTTTTATTGTATTATATGTTCGAGTAATAATTATTATAAAGGTACTTCTTGTTTAAGAAATTTTTAATTATGAATTTAACTTAGAAGTTACATTTAATCATTTAATCATTATTTTTGCTTAGTTAACACGATAATTAAATACTATTGTTATTTAATATTTTTTGTTCAATAACAAGTATTATATTTTGGCTAACTCTCAAAATTTAGCTAACTTATATTTCACCTCCTTGCAGTTACATAGTTTAACATAAAACATTAATTTTTTAAATTGATAATTAATAAGCACCTAAATATGTATACTTATACACACACACACA